GATCGAACGCTTTTTGCATGTCAACATAGAAGGCAATGCATTGTAGCCCAGAATGGACCGCTCCGGCGAGATCACCTAAGAAAGTAATGTTACCAGTTATGCACGAACGCGGTTATAAAAAGTCATGCTACGAAGGTGAAAGAAGACGGTGTGATAAGAGGAAGTTAGTTTTTCCTTCACAATTATCTCTAACATTTGCGTTAGAATGAATGTGTGACTAATATGTAACACTTACGTGACTTCGGATCATGCGCTCGTGCATGTTAAATTCGTTCTGCTCGTTGGAGACACCCAACACCCTTGCCGGAAACGGTTTGACACAGACAAGCTCGCCGTTCCAAATGTTCTCTGCGCATTTCAAAACATATAATCCTCCAATCTACGTTCTCTATCCTCCGATGTTGAGACACATTGGGTACAGATCCAGAGTGACTTACGAAACTCTGCTACCCTGGTCGGTGGCTTCACTAGACGAACTGTTAGTCATTGGATCTCCGCACAGTCTGTCCAATTAATGGAAAGTCGTCGAAGAATTCCCACCGGAATTGAGTACAACGCACTACGCAGTACCACAGGTGCTGAGCTCAGACAGATCCTCAGGAAGGATCGCGAGGCTTGGTGGACACAGCTCGTCGTCGAGATGGAGCGGACAGCCTCATCAGGAAACTCCCGCAAACTCTTCCAACTTATTCGTGACACGGGAGGCAGAACACCAACAGTGAGTGTGGTTTTGCGTCAATATGACGGTGAACTAATTCAAACTCATCACCGTCGTCTGCTAGGATGGGCAGAGCATTTTGAAGATCGATTCAACTGGCCAGCAGCGCAACCGAGTCTATCTTCCGGGGTTCACAGTGCTCCCAGGTGCGTGATGTTCCTCCACCGACAGAGGCCGAAGTTTCCAATGAGCATCGCCTACTAAAGTGCCACAAGTCACATGGCCCAGATGAACGTCCTTCTGCTCTGTTCAAATATGGAGGTCCAGCTTTCACTCGCGAACTGACATCTCTGTTCTAACAGATTTGGACTACTGAAACCATTCCATCCGAATGGAATTTACTGGATGTTGTACCTGTTTGCAAACATGGAGACCAGACCATGTGCTCCAACCATCGTGACATCAGTCTCATTTGTGTTGCATCCAAACTGCTCGCTGTCCTACTCTTACAGAGACTCAGTTGCGTACGGGAACAGCACCTGCGTGAACAACAAGCTGGATTTCGCCTAGGTCGCGGTTGCGTTGATCACATCTTTACAATCCGCCAGATACTGGAACATCGCCATATGTTCAGTCGACCAACCATAGTCATATTCTTGGACATTCGAGCCGCTTTTGACTTAGTTGACAGAGTGGCTCATTGGGACTGCTCACTGAAAAGGAGAGTGCCTGAGATGTACATCAGCATTCTCCGTGCTATTTACCATCAAACTTCGGAACGCGTGCGAGTATACGGAGACATTTCGCCCCCTTTCAGTATCACCACCGGTCTCAGACAGGGTTGCTGAGCCGCTCCATTCTTGTTCAACTTCGCCATGGACGAGATCCTGCATACTGCCCTGGATAACTCTGAGTCCTGCGGTGTTGAACTGCTCCCTGGTGACCGCCTTCGGGACTTGGGGTACGCAAATGACATCGTTGTGATTTGTGAGTTCTCTCAGGCTGTCCAGCATGTGCTGCTGAGAGTGGAGAGGTCCGCCGCCGAATTTGAGTTTAGCTTTGCCGCTTCGAAATGTAAGGTCCTATTGTAGGACTGGCCAAGCACATGTCTTTCTCTTACCCTGTCGGGGCATGCGCTGGAACTGGTCGACAAATTCATTTATCTTGGGAGTTGTCCCAGTATTGGCTGTTCGACAGATGAGATCTCTATGCGTGTCTCCAAGACTATAGTCGCTTTCGCTAACCTTCGTCACCTGTGGCTTCGTCGTGATCTCAGCCTTGCTCTCAAGGGACGAGTCAACGATGTTACGGTACCAGCGATTCTGCTGTACGGCTGTGAGACTTGGCCCGTTCGCGAAAGCGATGTTCAGCGGCTATCAGTCTTCGAGCACCGCCGCCTGCGAAGCATTGCTGGTGTTCGATGGCAGCACCACATCAGTAAAGAGGAAATCCGTCAGCAAGTCTTCAGATCTAACGAACTCCGCCGATCGACTGATAGTACCATCTCACTGCGGAGGCCTCGCTGGCTTGGCCATGTGTTTCGTATGCCTACCCAGTGGCTGCCATGACGATCCCTATTCCCGAGCACAGGTGTGGCTTGCAAGCAACTAAAAAGAGGGCAAAGTAAAACTTGGATACAATGTTTTAAGGCGCAAACGATGAAGTTGGCTGTTGTCGGGCTTTCCCGACTCCCGGTTGGGGACCAAATGACCCCAAGCACACCTGGTTGCAAACGCTGGAGGATATGGCCAAGGACCGTACGCAACGTTGGGCCACCAACGTTGAGCAACCAAATTCGTCAAGGGATTGCGCAACCTTCCGCACCAGCAACGCGTGGAGACATTCGGAGTGTTCAGTGGACGCTACAGGCGGTTACGTGGAAATCTTGTATTTGTTTACCAGATACTGAGCGACCCTAGTCACGTATGCCGCCACCTACTGAAACTCAGTCTGAACACCAACCTCAGAGGCAATAAGCTGAAACTGAATCAACAACACAGTAGCCGCGACTGTTGACGAAAGTATTTCTCCCTCCGGGTTTGCCAACCCTGCATCTCCCTTCCATCTCAGTTGTCAGTGCCCCACATTAGCTGTTTTCCAAAGACGGTTGGGTATGAGAAGGAACGCTGCACTTTGTTACTTGTATGGATATTCTGAATTTCTTCTGGCTAACTAGCCACTTTGGAATTACGACCCACCGTGACGCACTTAGATTTGTGCAGAGGGATGAGCAACCTACTTTTACTTGCTATGAGTATTAACTAGCACAACTTTAATTTGGTTTCACCTGTACTGTGTCACTGTTATAACCATCCCTCTTAACACGATTACTCTATCGCTTTGCTCAATAAGTGTTTTATTTGGTCCACTTTTACATGTATAAATCACAATTTCATCCATTACCAACCTACGGGACATGTTAAGTCTATGCTTTTTCCCGTTGTAAACCATTGTTCCATTGTTCGTAGACTTGCGTTGTTGTCGTAAGGCGTCACTCCGCCTGTTCCGACCGCGTCCCACCCTCCCCGAGTTTTGCATTCCAGAACTCAAGTCCCTCGAGAAACCACAGAACCTCCTGGTCCACCTGCCTAAAAGCATAGGCCACATCATCCAGGTTCCAAACAACCACCACTCTGCACTACCAGTGTCATAACGGCTAGTCTGGTCCGTGACCAATGAGAACAGTTCTCCAAAGACAACATTCAGGATTCATCATGGGACGAAGATCTTCATCGCCGTGGACTGGGGTGCGGTGGGGGAATGACAACTCCCTACCGTACCGTCTGGTCTACAGCGGAGGAAATGTCTTGTAGGCCTTTTCCTGGACTAGCAAGTATTTTTGCAGTCCGGCGAGCCCGTACCAACGATGCACCCCAGCTTACACCCAAATAATAAATAACAAAGTAGCCTGGAGCTAACGAACTCCACCCGCCCCTTTCAGTCGACCTGCGCTCACTAAAATTGCTACCCTACTATCTCGCTCTTATTTGGTCCTCCACCTTACGTCTATCGAAGGTTTCCCTCAATCACTCTTCTAGGGAAGACCCCGTTTAGTGGACAAGAATCATTCACGCTTTAAATATTTTGAGACATTGGAATTTATTCTTGTTTCTATCTTCCGATAGTTCATTTGTTTAACTGATAGTACATACCGATCACTCGCTCCCCTCGTGAGTCACACTGCATACGACTGTCTGCCTCTTCTTACCTGCCCTCCATTCTTTGTGGGTTTTGTCAATGCACGGCGGGTCCAAACGATCGAACTGTTCGCCCTACTTCCGTATTTGGCACATCTTGTACGCTCCAACTAGCGACTAGCATCTGAGTAGCAGATTCTTGTGTGCAGTTTAATCGTGACTTCTACTTTCTACGAACATTACATTACTCACAAAAATCGGCCTTTGGACATCAGAAGGACAGATACTTCGGTCCATTGGGAAGTGACGAGTGAGTGAGCCAATCTGCAACACCAGGACAGATACTGTGAGCTCATTGGCAATACATCGCGCACCAAGCAGAAGTCATGTATTAAATTGCGCACCTGATCGTCAGCCCTCGGTAGCTCAGTGGTAGAGCAGCGGACCGGTAATTCCTTGGACCGTGGTTCGATTCTCCGTCGAGGCAGATAATTGTGTGCAGTTTAATCGTGACTTATACTTTCTACGAACATTACTTTACTCACAAAAATCCACAAGTAACCCATCAAGTCCGTTTCTTAACTTACGTCCAGTGGATGCACGGTTCGGGTCCGTTCAGCGTTAGCTGCGACATGCGACTTCAGTGTTCTGTGCCCATCTTAGGCAGATACCTCATAGTTGCTTCGGTGCACGATAGGACACAATGGTTACTAGGGGAATCATAAACGCACTTGGTTGGTCTGTCCAACAGACGGAACCTTTACAAACGGGGATTAAATTATCCAGTGTAAACACAGCTGACACTCTAATACAAAGTTATCTTATCTATCGGCCCCAATGAATTGACGCGAAATCCCCTAAGTCTGGAGTCATTACTTATTGTTCATCATCGTAAGTTGGCAATTAATCCAAACTATAAGTGTGTGCGCCAGCAGTGCACAACAACCTTCCCGTCCACCGCTGACCAGGCCACATCAAGGGTACAACCACGTACACATCTCTTGCGCAACCACCATCGACTAGGCTCTTAGTAGGCCGGCAGTGCGACCCAAGCTTTCCGTTAGGAGACAGGGGTATCCATTCCTAAAAGCTGGCTTGGTTCACTTAACCATGCACATCTGGTGGATTGTGCTGTTGTCAATGTACACAGTCACATTCCCATTTATTGGGTGCTTGCGTCCGCTAGTTGCACTACTGGTCTACCAATCGGAATGCATGGAGTATCGATCGGGGTTGATGGTTCATCGTTTTGCTGACTGAGGACAAATGTACCTGGCCCTCTTTCGTACGTGGCGTGGCGAAACCGGTTGATTAGCGCTAGTCTAAAGTCAGATATCTATGACTGATCTATACGATTACTCATCGGATGAAGAAGTCACTGAGTTTCGACGTCGAAACGAAGCAGCTCGGAGGATGAGGGAAAGAGCGCGAAAACAGCTGTTCGATGAAAGTAAGTCTTCATTCATGATGGACGATGGCATGCATTTGCGATTTTCCACCAGTGTGTCTAAGCAGCGAGAAGTCAACTACTTTGCAGACTGACTGTATACTGAGTAAACGTTATCTCATCAAAGAGGAAAGTGCTGTTGCTCAGTGAAGTTTTACATAGACCATCTTTTGCACAGAGCATTTGTTGTCTAACTTTGTGCTTTAAATGGCGAAAATTCTCTGGTATCTCATCATGCTACCTGTACCCGTGTCTATATGCAAAGCATTATTGGAAAGTGTCGGTATGAGAAATTCCGAGCTCACTCTTGCCAGTGTTCTGAACAATTCGGGAATCTCCAAGTACACTAAATTTAAGCAGATTTGCGTACCAAGTCATGAAGCTCTGTCTTCCCAAAAAGTAGTAGGGTCGTCCAAGTTTTCTAAGGTCAGATAATTAACTCACACCAGCAAGCAACATCTTGAAATATGCTTTGAACCGATCGAGACTTCACGGTTTCAGGTTTGAAAACAAGTGCTAAGTGTAGTAGGAGGGCGGCGTGTCGTTTTTGGCACAGAACCTTCGTCAGGCCAAGAGAATCAACAGGTGATTGTTGGGACATTTATGATACTGGCACAATAATAGCGGACATCGAGGTGCAAGTGGGATGGTAATCCCGATACAGCACAAAGTGTCATCTCATTTAGCACATTAGGATGCTAAACTCGCAGATTCCTTACTGTACGATCTCATCACACGTAACTCCCTGCCAGTGATGGCAATAGGAGTGGTTTTAGGTTCGCCCTTTGCACCAGATCCGTCCGTCGACGCCCCTCATACTGGCTTAAAACTGCCCGACACACATTCCATAACTCTACCCCGTCTCTTCTGTTTAGGCAGCTGTTAGTTTTGGAAATTTCCAACACCACAATAGTCAGCCTTGGTATGTGAATCGTAAACCTGTCCTAATGATTTCGACATTGCCTTAGTCGATTTCATGACCTGTGTCTAGCATGCGTCTCGCCACTGCTGAATCTCTCAGTACAGCCCTGTATTCATGCTCGTTCCTCGGTGGACGTGACATGCGCCTCTTGTGTTCTGCATAGTACTTCAGCGGTTTGACTAATGTACACGTGCGCAGTCCTCGCAGCTAATTTGTAGACGCAATTGGTCCTCTCCTATGGGCGGGAAGTGAGTTCTCTAAATTCACCATTGTCGAACGGAGCGTTTGGCACTTCCGGAAAAGCACCCGTATTATTCTGTGTGTAATACGATCAGGATGGCCTATGAAGTTCCCTCTTTATAAGGAATCCCTACTGTTCCCAATCTACTCGGTGGTATGCTTTGTATGTGGCTTTAGAACCCTCTGCAACAGGCGTTTCACCAGTCGTCTCGGGTATCCATTAACCAGCAGTTGGTCCAATGCTTACTTCCGAGTGCTCTTAATTCCTCTTCCTCTGCACACAATGTGTGAGCTCTGTGAAACAGGGATTAAGCGATTCCAGCTTACATATGCTCCGGATGGTGTGAATTGTTGTTGAGTACCCTATCTGTGTCCGTCGGTTTAGTGAATATAGCTTTTTTGGATTTCCCCTGATTCCTCTGAACCGAACAGCCAAGGAATGGCAATGTACCATCGCACGCTTCCGCTTATATTGTGACGTTTATAGCCTCATTATTTCATTTTCTGCTGAGGTGTTAAATTTGATTCAGTTTCACATATGTTATGGAAAATGATGCAAAAACGCTCGTGAAGTTTGAATTTTACAAATTTAGATTAGTTTGGGAAATTTGATGATTATTCTAACTGTCCTTCTTAAAAGACGCCACCAAGAAATGACATCGGAATGTAGGTGAAGACCCAAAACAATGTTTTTCGAGAAATAAACGATTGTTTGTAGATTTGATGTGACTGTGTTTACTCCTTTTCAAAGGAAAGCTAATAGGCAGTTTGAATAAAGTCGTAAGAAGAACACTGGCAGATAGGAACAGTTCGTATTGTCTCTTCAGGACAAACATAATAATATGAAAAAATATAAAACGACAAGTAAGGTGAGACCGGAACAAGTTAGAACAGGTTATAGGGCAGACTTGACACCCTCTACGCCCAGGGTAGCCGTAGGCTAACGAACAACTGTTTCTGCACACAGAGTGCGAGTTTGATACGGTTGATCGCGACTGCCTAGACCTATCTTGTCAATGGCAAACTCGACACAACATAAGTTGGCTTGTTGGCTGGTGGAACTACTTGCACCGTTAAAACTGCAGACTATCCCACACCATCTGAAAGACTCTTTCGAGCTTACCGTGGCTTTAGATGAATTTAACCTAGCCGATAAAGTCATGGCCACATTGGATGTACAATCGCTTTTCACCAATGTTCCGCTACATGAAACAGTTGATTACGTGTGTGAAATGGCCGAGTGCTCCGATTTAACTCTTCCAATGCCAGTCGAATTATTAAAGGACAGCTTACTACTATGCACTGAGAACATCGGTTTCCAATTCCAAAGCCTTCCTTATGGCCAGATAGATGGGGTGGCAATGGGTAGTGCGTTGGGCCCAGTGTTAGCACATTTTTTTTCTTGTCGATGGTTGAAACGAAGTTGCGTGTAGAAATATCGCTTCTTTCCTACTGTAAGCGGTATGTGGATGATATTTTAGTGTTTAGCTCATCAGAGGAGCACATTGCGCGTCTGGCCGATCGTCTGAATAACGTGCATACGAATCTAAAAGTAACCAGCGAAACAGAGAAAAGCAACTGCCTCCCATATCTGGACGTGTTGATTTGCCGAAGAGCAGATGGGTCCATCAGAAGAGAGGTTTACCGAAAGCCGACTTGGTCAGGGCAGTACTTGCACTTTACCAGCTTCTCCCCAATGCGGTACAAGCGGACCTTAGTCAAGACGCTATTCAACCGTGCAAGAAAAATATGCACTACCGACAGTTTAGATGATGAGATAACCTCGCTCAAGGATACGCTGTTGTAAAATGACAGTCCAAGAACATTCATCGACGAACATAGTCAGGTGAGGGTGCCGGGACAGAAGACTTCGACAGTGTCTAAAAAAGGTCTACATCGAGCTACCATTTAAGGGAGATTTTGCCAATATGAGACCAATGAAGCGCATAATATCCGCAGTCCAGAGGATTCAGTATGCTGCTGAAACTGTTCTTATCAACCGGACTAATCGAATACCTGTTACCCCAACGACGGAAAAACAACCTATTGGCGCCAACTCACATTGTATTTACCAATTTACTTGTAGTTGTGGTATACACTACATCGGCCGTACCAATAGATCATTGAACTCCAGAATAAGGGAACATGTAACTAAATGGTTGCAGCATCAAATCACCCAGTCCTCGGTTGCTCATACCACCTGTTCACGTAAGCCACCTGCTTTTTGCCATTTGCATTTGCTGGCCACCTGTCAACAGTTTGATCCGGCCAAAATGTTTACAATCGTGTTAAGACATGTTAACGCCCGTTTCCTACGTTTCGCAGACGCAGTCGCGATCAGCCATATCAAACCCGTACTCTGTGTGCAGAAACAGTTTTCGTAAGTCCACGGCTGCCCTGGGGGGTACGGGTGTCACGCCAGCACCCGACTCTGTTCTAACTTGTTCCGGTCTCACCTTACCTGTCGTCGTATATGTTTTCATATTATTGTGTTGGCACTGAAGAGACAATACGAAATGTTGGTATCTCTCAGTGTTCGTGTTCTTACGGCTTTAGTCACATTACTAATAGGCAGTTGTTCTTTATAGGAGAATATGAAGCCTACATTTACGCAAAACTTGTCGTATCATTCATGCGTAGTATGTTGCAGAGCAGGTCAGGTGTATTGGAATCACACTGGGAAGAGTAAATTAGTCTTGTTCCCACAGTGGCAGCACTTTCTTTGTTTCAGCATAGATTTCGAGTGGTATCCAGTGCATGATTTTCTGTTGCTGTCTTCAGCCTTTGGCTGTTTTCTGTTGGGTGTAAGAAGATTTCAGAGGACATTATTCTCTGCTAGATGCACCTGCAAGTAGAGTTTCACCACAGTGCGTTTGAACGAAAGCATATCATCTTGCTCTTGTTTTTTAGTGCAGGTGATTTTCTGTACAAAATCCAAGCGTTATTCATTGAAGCATGCGGTAGAAAGGCGCATGCGGCCAGCACCAATTTTTGCCTCGAATTTGATCGTGTACTGACCGATATTTTGGTTTCATCGATCTACTCCTTCCATCGAGGTGTTATTCTTTGTAAAAATGCCAGATTGTTCAATAAGTATGTGCTTCTTGTCCTTCGCCGACCACCTCTTCCCTTTTGTCCGAGGATATACACCAACAAAGTTTCCGACAAGAGTCACAACGGAAATATCATTCCAAGACAAAACGAACACGTCACCTCATTTATTAAAACTGTAGGCAGAAGTACCCCTGTTTAGTTCCCTTGAGGCCTTCATGTCGATGAGGCACTTTTCTGGCCTATTGGCTCAAACTGTCCTCGTTGCTCTTTTGATTTTGTCGAGTAAAGGTTTCTTGAGCGGCACGCCTGTGAAAAGATGCCAAAATAGATGTGGTAGGTTCGCTTATTCGGGAGGTTGTCCACTAGGTCCATAACAACGCCATATCCCAAATCTAATGGCTTGTCATATTTGGCCTGCGCTTCTTGGTAGAGATCCATTCAAACGGCATAGCCTAGAGATGTTGCCATGACCCATTGTTTATACCCGAACCTAGTAGGCTTTCCTCTGATGCATTGCTTCGGTCAATGACGGTCGTAATATGGTATCATGCTTCCAGTTACGCACAGATTTTCTTCCATGGGGAAGCATTGCATAAATCTATTACCGTGTAGGTCATAACGTTGCCGAACTTTTTCAAGTTTGTCAGCTGCCTTCAGATTTTCATTGTTTGCTAGATGAAAATATTTCATGATTGTGTCAAATCGGTTTCGATGCATTGTTTCACTGATGGCTGCATTGTGGACATCTTGTTCAGGATCCCAATATATATGTCTTCGTGGTAATGGA